AGTACATATGTTTTTTGGCCTACCCTTTGCATCTGTGAAAAGTCTGTGTTGTTTGGACGTCTCTGTGAGAAGTTATAATTATTGAGAAAATTGGCAAATTAATCAATTTTGGCTTTTTCCATAGTAAACTCGAAGTTTATAACTTTTTACAGAGACGTCCAAACAGCACAAACTTTTCACAGTTGCGAAGGTAGGTCAAAAAACATATGTACTGACGATTTTAGATCTTTCTGCAGCGTTCCCGATTTTTGGTGACCTAACTTAAAATGGTCAAGACTTATATGGTCTTAGTTTTCCATTTTTATCTCCGCATCCAGTGTGAAACCGAAGCTGATCAAAGAAGCGTTTGGAAGCGAAAGACTTATTCTTTCTGATAAAATTACGGGCAAGCAAATCCGTTGACACAGCGCAAAGTTACAAATTTTTGAAAATGAAACGACAGAACTTTCGGACCCACCTAATATATGCTAAATATGATGTTCAAGGCGAGAACGGTGTATAAGTCGAGAGCGATCGATGATGAATTCATTCGAGATACTAATATTATACGCTTTTCTTAAAGGGAGATTGCCGAAAGTTAAAGCGATGCAAAAATCTATGTGTAATTCTGTAAGACTCTCAATGATATACGTAATCCTCGAAAAATTTCATGTATGAGCATTAAAAAGACTCCCTATGGTTCGTGCATACGCATGCATGCACGCACCAAATGCGCGAGGAACGTTAGGCACACGCCGTACTTGATCCAATTCATCCACTTCATCCATCCACATCGCTATTGGTCAACGAACTGACCAATAGCGAAGTGGGTGAAATGGATCAAGCGGGTTAAGTGGACCAAACATGGCTGGCCATAGTGGAAGTTTCTCCCAAAATGGTTCACTTGTCAAAGGTGTCCAGGCTAAATCTAACCCCCTCCTAGTGTCGATCTTGAATGTAGGCCCCACGAGATAGGCATCTGCGTTGGTTCGGTCCACTAATCTTGTCTCTGAGGAGATAAGAGGTGTGGAGGAACCAAAGTGCTATCAAGCCCCGCCCAGATAATATCAAACTCCGCCCACCCATGCACTGAAAGCCGTCCACGCCCTCAAGACAAGGTCCTCAGAAATCGTGGTTTTTGGGGTGTTTTGGACTATTTGAAGTTCATAATTGTAATTAGGACCAAGGAAAGGCCCCGGAATGGCAAAAACATGGGAGGCAAAATTTTGGATGGACGCTGCCTTCAAATGCACCGTCCCCCCAAATTCTCGACTTCCATGTTTTGTCGATTCCCGGCCTTCTGAAGGCTCTGATTTCGAATATAGAGTCGAAAGCCCGCGAAACACCCAAAAATCCCTGTTTCGAGAACGCTCTGCAGCAAGCGCAGGCGAGATAAAGCATGCATGGTCGCCCCGCCTACTTTGCTACTTCCGGAGCGGATTTCTCGCTCCAGAAGCAGTCTTTTGCGGCGCAGCTTAGAGGTTTGCCTAGTGTGGCGGCCCACACTAGTATGCCATCATAATCTCGCCAATCTCCATTTTGGGTGGACGGTGCCTTTAACGTGTTGATCATCATTTCTCCCATATCTTCAGAGCAAGCAGCACGATTAACAAGTGTTTTCAGAGAAAGTGGGCTACCCAACAGGAATCTGGACCATTTTGAAGAGCACGAGCCTGACACCAACAAACTTTGTTATGTGCTATGCGCCTATGTCATGAGTTATGACGTTTTTGACTCGAAAAACTGAACGAACAAATGACATAAAATCACTCAGAAAATGCTCAAATGGGCGAATATTGAGATACCAGTGCTTCACCTCTGCTTCGCAGAGGTTCGCACTGGCATCGTGAACCGTGGTAAACTCACTTTCTGAGAGCTTGTCTCTCAAATCATTGTTCGGGTTATTGCAAAGTGAGCCGTAGTTAAAAATGAACCATACTCGCTATCTTAACCTCACATGATGTTTAGTATCGTAAATCATTCCTCACTGTAATTTCGTAACGGACAAACTCCACACAACTTCAGATTAAGCCGCTTATTATAAGTCATGATTCAGCACTCTATGCACCACTTTCTTGTACTCAACGCTCACTACTTGTGTGGTGGCGGAGGGAACGTATCGATCAATTCCATACAGATCTGCGTACGTTTGCAACAAATGCTCATAACTCGTTAGAAGGGGCCCAGCAGATAATGAAGACAGATTTAGATCACTGTTTGATGTCCTACAAAATGGCATAGAATCCGTCTAGGAAGGCCACTTCGACTAAAACTTTCCTTGTAAGCATTATCAGAGGAAGTCAAATGAAAAAGCAAAGCCATCTGCAACCCACTCTGATTCCATAGTTGATCGGCTTTCGCAGACAATGCTGATTGCCGAAAGGCAAACATCTTCTTGGCTGGTGGAGGCTGAGAATCATCGCTAGACTTTTCCGACATGGCGTGCAAGTACCCACTAGAGTGAAATAAACTTGATTTTGAAGAAAGCATTGAAACTTAGCAAAGAGCGATGAGAAAGTGATAGCGAACAAGACATTTGCGCGCTCGCTGTTTGAGAATAAATGTGTTCGCGACGGCTCGGCCGCACTCCCGTCGCGCGGCGTCTGATATCATCGTAAGTTTTCCGCAGTTTCTATTGGAAATTCGGTTTCTGAGTTAGAAATCGCGGTAAAGCAAGTGGATTCCGATCTGATTTAAGTAGAATATGATTCAAATAGTTTGGGAAACTTAAGGAAGTGAAAAAGTGTTTGAAAAAATTGTCATCTTGTTTGTCGCCACGATATCTACGTTTCGTTTAGAAACTGATTGTTCAAAACTTGATGGTTAGCTCGTTTTCTTCAAATCATGTTCAGACATTACTCAGGAAATTTTTCGAGTTTCGTCGATAGCGATTCGCGACAGAAATTTACGCGGCGTCGCTTCAATGGACGAGTTCATAGCACACAAAATAAAAGCGGCACGGAGCGGCATCCCTCGCCATTGATCACAGATTTTGTCTGGTCTGGTTTGTGAGCATTGGCCAACATTGTTTTAGCGAAACTTTGAACGATAAGTACGCAGATGACAATGGGAATTTGGCAGCTGGTATTTTCGCACGTGAAGATTGGGTATTTTCCTCATCTATTCACAAAGGTCTTTCTTGTATTTCATAGCGGTAAATGTGTGATATGTCATAATTGAGACTTTGAATACTTTCTAGTGAACGAGTAATGCACATATCCAAAGAGAAATGCGGTTTTGTCTTTTGTCATCTGTAAACTTTTTTTTACAAATAGAAAGCTTACACAACTCTAATCTCGCTCCGGAAGCACGCCTGCCGCCGCATCAACGTTCATTGAATATTCACCAATTTCCTTGTTTATCATGTAAAACTGCATAGTATATAGTATGCAACTTGTAGAAAAGTCACTTCCATTCTATTCCACTCCCAATGACCTATTAACCTAAAATCGTGGATCTGGCTGACTTTGTTTAGAGTTAAAAAAGAAGGCACGCTCAACCCAGCATGATACCTCCCCCTCCCCCCCCCCCCCCCCCCCCCCCCGACGGCTGCACTCAGACAGTCGAAGGGATACCTCCGGCGGGCATATGGCGCGAGTCTGCCACTTCGCGCTCCGGAGCCCTGCCATTTCACGCATTTTTGCAGGTGGTGCACCTCCGGAGCAGAGATTTGCGCATCGCGGAGAGGGGTCCCAATCATTCACCGTGACGTCACGGTGACGTCACAAACAGGACGAGTGGGACCCCTCTCCGCAACGCCAAATCTCTGCTCCGGAGGTGCGCCACTTTTGGGAGAGCCCCGGAGCACAAAAATACGTGAAATGGCAGGGCTCCGGAGCGTGGCAATCCTCCGCTGGGGAAAGCCCGCGACCCTGCCACTTCTGCTCCGGAGATATCCCATCGACTGTCTGAGGCACGTCAGGAGGTACGCCGCGCGCGGCGGCCGCTCCGTCGCGCAAGCCGCGTTCGAATCTTGGGGCCCTCAAAACCCCCGCTGTTGAAGATTCCCCGCGGCAAAAACAGGGGGGAGGGGTGGGGGTGAGGCAGAGACATGACTGGATGCCTTAAGTAACACTTTTGTCTAGAAAATGCTTACGATGAGTTTTGGACAACAGGACTATTACCAAATCGCATCGCGACTGAAATTGCGTGAAGTATGCCCGGGTCTAAACTCAAGGGAACGATGACTTTAACGATTTTATCTGCAACGTGGTTTTCGAAGTTTCGCTCATTCAAATCTTTGATTTGTTATCCTCTGCCGCATAAAAAATCAGGTCATCGATTCAAAGGTTTGGAAGCATCTAACAGTAAGCTAGAAAATTGTGAAAATCTTCGAAGAACTAGCAGTTTCTTTCATCTTTCGCTTATATTCCTTGCTGTGCAGTGTTTGAGGTAAACCGCCACTCAGAAACTAGGAACAGTAATTCTTTCATACTTTTGTTATAATCACATCAGTTCCATTTAATGCTTTAATCGGTGCACTCGCTTCAATAATTTACGAAAAGTTCATTATCCAAACACTCTTATCTCGTGCCTGGATTTGCCCAACTCATCGTTATCATTTTCGTGACAATGCTTCTTATCAGATTGTGTGGACTTCGTCCATCTTCGCAGAAATGGTCTGATCTTTTGAGTTCGGTTCATGTGGGAAAATCAGTTGCCTATTGTTCTACAGTTATTCATTTTTGTAATCCAAGTTTACGGAGTTACATTTTCAATCCCATCGCACTATAATCGACCTTGATTGCAACACTTTGCTCTGACTTACTATTTCTGGAATGAGAATAAACAATCAACGCTGAACGTAAACAAAATTGACCTTTGCGTTTGTTGCATTGTCATATGCCGAGATACGATCTTCCTAAAGCTGACTCAGCTCGCTTATTCATTGTGCCTTTGGAAAAAAATCAATTTGGCGTACATTAGCTCCAACACTCTTGCTGCGTTTGTGCTACCCGCATTTTATTGACTTTTTTATGGCGGCTTGTTTTTGCTGCTTCTCACCCAAGTCAAGCAATCATTGTTTCAGTCTCATCATAATTTTCACCCAACTCCAGGATGAGCGAGGGTCATGGCAGGGCGTTTGCCTTGACAATTTCGGTGTTGATGGTGGTCACCGGTTCGCTGAACACCATCTGTGCGAAATGGGCAGACAGGATGAAAGCCGAGGGAGTACCGTTCAATCATCCATTTTTGCAGGTGAGCTATAGATTTTTTGGCGACCTTTATTTTTTCGAAGTTTTTACGATGAAACCGACGATAATGTGACGAAAATCAAAATCTGTGAAGAAAAAAAAACTTGAAGGCTAAAATAAGGTATGAATGGTGATCACTTGCAATTATCGGTGAGAAGATGAAAACCTTGATTTGTTTTAGAATTTTCTATTTTGTTGCGTTGAAGTATTAGGTTGGCTAATAGATAATTTCATTTTTTGCGGCTCTTAGAGATGCTACAGACAATTTGTTGTCCAGTATTTGGTACGGCTGAAATAAACGCTTCAATGAGAGTTGGGACATAAATTTTGCAATGAAAGAAATTCGCAAAGAGGTGAAAGACCCGAATTTCTCAATACGCGGAATTTGAGAAAATTTGTTTTTCTTGGTCAAAGAATTTTGAAATGGCAGATCACAATTTTTATTGATATTCGCTAAGGAGTGAAAGTGTGTGTCTGTATCCATATACCGAATTGCTGTTCTCTGCATCCATTAGAGCATGGGAACTAGGCTTCGAAAGTCACAGAATTGAGCTTCTGAGAAATTAGCCGCATTGGGGCAGAACTGTTCCTTACCGATGATCTAAAATTTTGAGTAGTTGATATGCGATAGAAGAAGCTTTGAACTACTAATCCACAAAATATGATGAATGAAGAACGACTAGGAAAGTTTCCATGAAGATTTCATTACAAAAAATTATTTGTTAGCCAACCTAATAAAATACTTAATTTTTTGACATAGAATAGCACCACTTTTTAATACTTTGTCGACATCAAAACTGAATTTAAAAAATCTCTGAGCGTGATGCTCAGGTAGTAGTCTATTTTATAATTGGAGTCTTGTCATTTTTTGCTTTATTCTAGGTTGATGCACAACATGCGTTATACATGTACATTCCAGGCAACTTGTATGTTCTTTGGTGAATTCATGTGCTTAGCTGCGTTCTTCATTTTGTTCTATTACAAGAAATACCAGTGGAACAGGGCCAATATTACGGGTCAGTTTCTTCTACTTTCGTATTTTTATTGCAGATGGCACCGTTACTGCTTTGGCACTTTTTTCTTTGTAGAAATTGTCAGAAATCATAAATTAGTAGACATGCAGAGCAAAGTTGAATGGTTCTTATAAACTGCCGCAATTGCATTCGCACAGTTGCGGCCAGGCTTCCTGCCGATCTCTCAGGGTGCAAGCGGCTTTTTTCTTTGCGCAGAAATTATGCAGATATTTTTTCTTTTATAATAGGGATCGCAGTAGGGACTGAACAATTTTGCGAACAACGCAGTGTTTGACGTAGTCGCGATGCATTTTGACAGGGAGGGGGTCTGGATCCGATTAGCTACAGCGACTGTGGACTGCGGCTGTACTGGTCCTGTGTTCTGATCCAATATGGGTTCAGTTCGGCTCTCTTATCCAGATAAGGGAAATAATCGTAGGTAAATTCAAAAACAGGGGGCGTAATGTGATCGTGATAATAGGACATCTATCAGACCACAAGCGCTTCGGCCCGCGCAATTTTCAATAGTTTCAGCCTTATTTGAGTTTCCGCGCACGTTGTTTGGAGAACCGATCATATACAGATCGAATCTGGATCGGGCCCGGGACATAGGATGGGTTTAGTTGCCGGCCGTGTCAATCAAATTTTGCGGTCTGAAACATACTGAAGTTGCTGATTTGAAATGTGGACTCAGTTATTTCATTCTACTTCGCTTTTCATTGGCTTCAGGAGTAGGTGGTTCTATCACCGACATAACATCGGATAGCGAACCCCAGTTACCCCAGTTCAATCCGTTGGTATTCCTGCCACCTGCCTGTTGTGACATTCTTGCAACATCCATCATGTATATCGGCTTGAATCTCACCACGGCCAGCAGTTTCCAGATGCTCAGAGGTAAATTTACATTATCTTTCCCAATTACGCTGAAGATGGCAAATGTTCAGGAGCTGTCATCGTTTTCACTGGACTGTTATCCGTTGGAATGCTTGGAGCGCGGATTCAGGGTTACAAGTGGATTGGAATGATCCTCGTCATCCTTGGGCTCGTAGTTGTTGGAGTGACGGATATCATGTACGACGACGATCCACTCGATGATAAGAACGCCATCATTACCGGTAAGATATTAAGTTGGAGAGTGAATGGGTATTTGCGAGTTGTTCTCCAAGTCCTTAAAATTTTTAGGGAATCTTCTCATCATAATGGCACAGATAATCGTGGCCATCCAGATGGTTTATGAACAGAAATATCTGAACCAATATGATGTGCCAGCTCTTTTTGCCGTTGGACTTGAAGGTGAGCAGACTTTTCGTGTGCTTATTCGGCAAACTTCTGCGACATAATTCTGTGCGAAACTTCTACAAAGCGTTGCCTGGTTATTTACGCTAATATGAATACTTTACAGGACTCTTTGGCATGACGATTCTGTCCGTGTTAATGGTTCCAATGTATTATATTCATGTACCTCACACGTTTTCCACCAATCCGGAGGGTCGTCTTGAGGTAAGGGCTCTAGCTTTTGATCGATAGCGTCATGTTCACATTTTTGAAGGACGTCTTTTTTGCATGGAAGGAGATTTGTGAGCAACCATGGATTGCTGTGGCTTTAGCAGGAACCATCGTCAGGTTGGTTCTTGTTAGGATTCGTTCAACTTCTTATTTTTACATTTCAGCATTGCATTCTTTAACTTTGCTGGTGTTTCGGTGACGAAAGAACTTTCCGCAACCACCCGAATGGTACTGGATAGTGTGAGAACACTAGTAATCTGGATGTTTAGTATACCATTCTTTGGCGAATTGTTTATCCCGGCTCAGGTGAGATCATTTTTCCCCAAGCTGTGAGAGCATTCTTACATTTTTTGTCTTTCAGCTCCTCGGCTTCGCACTTCTCATCCTTGGTATGTTCGTTTACAACGACATCTTAATTGGGCCATGGTTTAGACAGAAAGTGCTTCCAAACATGGGCGAGTCACCGTTTACCAGGTTAGTACGTCTTTTGCTTGGATAGAAAGCCAGTTCTTTGAAATGGATTTGAGAGTATTCTTATCAGCTTCTCAACGATTTTTATTTAGATGCTGTTTCTCGATATGTGGTGCTGACCTCGTCGAAAGTGACCGAGATAGCCTTCTCAATGAGGATGCATAACACTACCGTATCTCTACACCAAAGACCCCTCATTCTAAAATGGATTTGAGCTGGATTTGCTGTTTTTTTTTTGGCAGGTGCCATTTTCTACCATTGTCTCTGGTGCTTTGTTCTCTTCCTAGCTACTTTGTCGTACTCTAAGCTTCTATTTTTTGGTCATTAAGTATGAGTCATTGAGGGTTTAAGTTATTTGAACTTTATATCATGTACCTCTGAACAACTGTTTTTGATGCAGATTGTTCGGCACATAAGGGCATTCCTTGAGCGACTGCTTATATTTTGTATAGTTTGAGTTTTGCTTCTTTACGAGTTTGATAATCGTTAAGAACGTGTTGGCTACGTGTTTGAAATTTGCAATTTCTAGTGGTTTTATTTGTGGTTGGTTTCTGGTGGCTGAATTCCCTTCCAACAGTGATATATCCTTTCAAAAAGTTAATGAAAATTTGCTATTTTTTACTCGGCTCAGAGTGGAGGTAGACATCCAATATGCTTAGATTGGAAACATTTGGTTAGACAGCTTGTTCACTTCGTCCTTACCCCAAAAGCACCTGCCTAGGGAAAATCGACCATTTGAACGAGAGATATTATATGCTTCGCAGATTAATGTAAGCGAAATCGAGGCCAGTAATGTAAGAGATGCGCAGGCAGTGCGCGTAATGAGTCCCAAAATTGTGGAGTGATATTTGGCGCGACGGCAATGCCAAATGTGCTTCGAAGTTACTGTAGACGTAATTTATACCAGTCGACGGTGTACCGCTCCCGCCGTTAGAATAGGTATAGATGATTTGTTGACCGCACGGACTGGACATCGCTGCGGAATACGCGCCGCGAGGTAAAATGCTTGCCCCAGTATGAATTCGCCATTGTACAAGACGTGCTCTCGCGACAATTCAACCGCACCGCGCGTGGCCGCAGCGTTTGAGCAGTCCTTGGGGTCAACGAATCGACGATACCTTTCAAAGGCAGCGGCCCGGCAGAATTTCGTTTTCCAGCTTCACCTTTTCGGAGCCTTCTCGCCATGAGAAACCTATATCTAGGCTTATCAGCGATGGAAATGGCAAAAATGCGCTTTTTCCGAAGCTTTTTAGGTCCGCATTCAGTGAAGATCACCTGTATCACCTGTATCCCCGTTGATCATCGTGTTGCACGAGCGGGTACCAGTGATGCCTCCATTCGTCCCTGTCTCGGGCGATTGTTGACCAATGTTTACGTATCGCACCAGGAACACGTGGAACGCTCTGAAGGACTTCATTAGAGAACTTCGTGAACATATCTGACCATCGCGTCGGCGGTCTTCCTCGTTCGCGTTTGACGTCCAGTGGTATCCAATCTGTTACAGCTCTCGTCCACCGGTTGTCGTCGAAACGCATTACGTGCCCGGCCCATCTTATCTTGTTCTGCTTGGCGTACGCGGCAGCGTCCCTGATCTTCGATCGTTGACGTAGGGTAGAACTTCGTAATCCTTGCCTCACTTGCGTGAGTCGATTCACTCCTAGCATCACTCTCTCAACAGCTCGTTCGATGACGCTAACCGCGTGTTCATCCTGCTTTCTCATTGTCCATGTTTCTGAAGCGTACGTCAAAGCAGGAAGAACCGTCGAGTTGAAAAGGTGGACGCGGAGCCGGATGTTCTTGGTCTTCTTCACTACGTCCTCAATTGTCTTATATGCTCCCCATGCTGCACGTTTCCTCCTGCTCAGTTCCTACTTCCTACAGTTCATACTCGTCCTCCTTGAGATGGCATGGTGGAAGGTGGACGTGGCTCGCAAAAAGATCCGAGTAGAAGTCGTGGATGACCTTCTCCATTGATCTTCGGGAAGCAGTTATGGTTCCGTCAGGACGACGAAGTGCGGTCATCTTTGTCTTGAAGTTGACGAAGCTTCGGCGGGCGTTGCGTATACTTCTTCCAGCCTCCGCGGCGTCAACCATCACTGCTACTCTTCTCTCCTTAAGGTCTTCCTTTATCGCTTGTCTGCATCGCTTCGCAAGCTCGGACGTCAGTCGGTAGTTGCCTGTGGCTCGTGCGCGTCCACGTTGGCGTATCAGCTCCAAAGTCCCCGTGGTGAGACGCCTTCTCGTAGTTCTTACTCTGAGCTTCCTTGGCACAACCGTGGAGATGTTGTACGAACCGTTCGTATTCTTCGTCGATGTTGTCCATCACGGTATCTCGCCATGAGCCGGATATCGAAGAAAACAGATCCCAGTTGGTGGTATTCATGGGACGATGTTTCCTGAACTTGACGGCTCTCTCTCCATTCCGCGGAAAGTAGAATTAGTCGCGCAGGAGACGATGGTCTGACCCCGTGTAGAACTTCGGAACAACAGCGACGTCCGTCAGGCAGTACCTTCAGTGAAGATGCGCCGGAAAAAGCCGCGTTACGGGACCCGCCCACTTCTGCACTAGGTGACCTGGAAAGCTTCGGAAAAAACGCATTTATGCCATTTTCATTCGCTGAAAAGCCCAGATACGGGTTCCGAAAAGGTGAAGAACTGGAGAACGAAATTCTGCCGGGCCGCTGCCTTCAGCTCCCCTCCCTCCCAAAAAAGTGACGATTTGAGGAGCTAAGCGGCATTTTGAGCAAAAATGTCTTCCACAATTTTCGTGAATTTTGCTGGAAATCTCCATTCACACTGCAGAAAATGCCTTTTTCCCAGAGGAAGAACATCTGAGCAAACAGTGGTCTCGCTAATAACGCCAATATCTTTTGAAACTACGTATCATTTCGAGCAGAAAATTTTTGATATCGCACAATTTTCGTTGCCCATAATGAAGATCTCACTGTGGAAGGCATTTAACTGCAAAAAATGCGATCTCGGGAAGTTACAGTCGAATCATTTCGTATGATCATGTTTGACATTGTACACACCGTCCACCTTTGGCATTCCCATCCTGGATTCTTGGAGGAGGCAACCCTTCAGGCAGGTGCTTTTCATGGGTTTGTTATGTTTTCTTATCTTTTTAGGTACTATTCACCTCAGGGTGATGTAAGCGATAGCAATAGTTCAGTCTCCTGCGTTTTGCGATTGCAGATCCAGGATAAGGATGCCAAAAGATGGACGGTGTGTGCGGGTGCACATAAAGTGCGGTTCATAATTATACGAACACCCCAAATTTTAGAAAGTTCTGGACTTTTTGACAGAAACTCAAAAAGTCGTTGGTACCACGCGAAAGAGCACAACCGAGAACGGTATATGATCCATAAGAATGAAAATGGATGTCAATTTCGGGAGTGTTTTTGCGCCTAGTGCAAATTTTTAGCGGTTCATAATTATACGAACACCTCAAACAAAGGTCCATTTTTTATTCAAGATTGCAGTCATTTGAGTCCAAATTTTTTGTAAAGCTGCAGTAACAAAGCTGACGCGTCCGCTACACACTGAACCCAGTGCAGTTCAAAAAGAGGACCGTTACTTTTTTCAGAAGGCTCTAAATGTGATTGCGCTCCGAAAACATCCGTTCTTCTGCAGTTTACGCGCTCTAATTAGCTTCTACCAAAGCTATGAGATAAAATAAGCTCTTTCGATGGGTATTTTGTCTGACGCTTAGAAAACCTTTGCGTTTTCGTGCCGTTTTTCAACCAAGTTCCAACCTTACCACAGAGTTAGCACGATTTCGAGCCTCAAAACTCAGCTTCTGAAGCCGTACAATGAAGTAAGCATATAGTATGTAGAAGTTCACAAGACTGTTTGGCTAGAAAAAATCAGCACCGTTGAGCGTTTGTTTTGGCCACGCAGACGTCATTTCATCAAAAACACTGCTTTTACTATTGCAATCACACCTTTATTTGGTTTGTAGATCCACAGCCTCAAGATCAGTTCCACAAAAAACCCAAAAGCTTTGGCACAGAAACATCATCATGTAAACAATGCAGCTGCTTCATATCAAATGTTTGAGCGAGAAGAAGCTGAGTTTTGAGGCTCGAAATCGCGTTAACTCTGTAGTAAGGTTGGAACTTGCTTGAAAAACGGCACGAAAACGCAAAGATTTTCTAAGCGTCAAACAAGATACCCATCGAAAGAGCTTATTTTATCTCATAGCTTTGGTAGAAGCTAATTAGAGCGCGTAAACTGCAGAAGAACGGATGTTTTCGGAGCGCAATCACATTTAGAGCCTTCTGAAAAGAGTATCTTTTTTTTTGAACTGCACTGGGTTCAGTGTGTAGCGGACACGTCAGACTTTGTTACTGTAGCTTTACAAAAAATTTGGACTCAAATGAGTGCAACTTGAGTAAAAAATGGACCTTCGTTTGAGGTGTTCGTATAATTATGAACCGCTAAAAATCTGCACTAGGCGCTCAAACACTCCTAAAATTGACATCCATTTCCATTCTTATGGATCATATACCGTTTTCGGCTGTGTTTTATTGCGTGGTACCAACGGCTTTCTGAGTTTCTCCCAAAAAGACCAAAAACTTACAAAATTTTGGGTGTTCGTATAACTGTGAACCGCACTTTATTATCATATGAGATGATTCGACTGTACGAACATGTGAGTAAGCAGTGGGTCGCTGCTAGAAACAATGTCGACACTTTCTAGAACTAAATATCATTTCGAGCAGAAATCTCTTGATTTTCTCACAGTTTTCGCATTTACAGGTGATTATCCCACACTGTACTTTCAATGTATCTGCTCCTACCGGGAGACGGCTCTTCTGAACCCACCGTCTACTACAGTAACCCCCAAGTAGGACGCGGGCGCCTGCGCTGCGGCCACTGCGGACGAGTCTTCTGCGGAACGCTTTATTTTCGAAAGTCTTCATGATGAGGCTGCAGCGCACGGCAGCGCCGCGTTATGGAGCAAAGCTACGCCGCATTCTCAGACACTCGCTGTTGACTCGCGCCGGAGATCCGCCCCTTTTTGAGGGATTCGCGGGAAAGGGCGTAGACATGCGCGAGACAATATTTTGACAGCTTGTGGATGGTCGCGAAAGGAAATCGGGAGATGATGAGTGACTCAGCGAGCATTTTCGCAATATCGACGCGCATTTCAAATCTCAGCTCATATTGCATCATTCCAGGTTTCATTCCAGGCAAATTTGCCTGTGCTATATCCTGAGGGCCCTTTGCGTTGCGTCGCTCCTAATTGCGGTCGCACAGGAGCTAGCGCTACCGAGCGAATTGAGCCATTTTCCTCACTCTTCATAGATAAAGAGATCAAAATGTGAATGATAAACGCATTTCAAGGGCAAATATAGAATATGAGGAGGAAAAGTCGCAAAGCAAGCCAAGAGAAAGTAAAAGATGAATAAATTAATTTCTCTTGGAAACTCATGACGGAAAATTTCTCTCCTTTCTTTCTACTAATTCTCGTGTTCTACCTCTCTTGAACATTTTTAAATCAAATCAAGCATTGCATCATCTCAGATTCA